CAAAGTTGTTGTCTCTGAGGTTACGTATGCCTAGCCCCCCAAGGGACTTCGGTTTGCATACGTTAGCCCATGAAATAAGATGAATTTTCCTATCCCTGTTGCTAGACCACAGAAAATTCCTTATGAGCTGCTCCAATCGGTGAGCCATTGAGGCTGGCATGTGGAATAATGACATCTGAATATAGGGATGCTCGATAGAGTGGCTCTGTCCAAAGTTAGACAACCGGCCGAAGGTAAAAATCTGCCTTTCCACCCTGCTAGCCATCGGTCGAATTTATCTATGATGTGACTCCATAGGTTTAGGCGCAGTTTCCCTAAACAGAGGGGCAGACCAAAGTATGATGAAGGCAAAACTTCTGAAGAGCAACCCCAACTGAATGCTAGATAGCTCACTATGGAAGGGTCCAGAGCCACGCCGATCAAATTAGACTTAGCCATATTCACTCTAGGGCCCGTTGTCATCTCAAACAATTTGTGGAAGAGGTGGAGTGTGTCAAGTTGATGCTGGGAGGCCTTGCAAAACCAGGTGTCGTCGGCATATTGGAGATGGGAGATCGGCATATTGGAGATGGGAGATCAACGGCCCCGAATTACTGATTTTGAAACCGGAAAGCAAGCCAACCTGATATAATCGCGAGATTGATCTACTGAAGACTTCAACAACAATTGCGAACAAGAAGGGGGAGAGGGGGTCTCCCTGGCAGAGTCCCCTAGAGGACGGGAATAAGCCTTTAGGGGCACCATTGATCAAAATAGAGAAGCAAAGACCTGAAATACAGCCTTTGATGCAAGCTCTCCACCTAACTCCGAATCCCATACGTAACAGAGTTTTGTCAAGGATGGACCATTCAACATGGTTGTATGCTTTCTCCCAGTCTAGTTTAATAACTAAACTGAGTACCTTAGCTCGGTGCCTCGAGTGGATTGCCTGGGGGCGATGAAAGCTCCATTAAGAATTTGTCTATCTTTTACAAAGGCGCCTTGTGTAGGAGAGATCACCAAGCTTAGGACCTCTCTCCATCTAGTGGCAAGACCTTTGGAAAGCATCTTGTAAGAGCTATTAATCAGACTAATAGGTCTGAAATCTTTCAGTTCCTCGGCCCCTTCGACTTTAGGGATGAGCGCGATGAAAGTGGCATTCATTGCATGCCCCTTCGACTTTAGGGATGAGCACAATGAAAGTGGCATGCATTGCACGATGAGTGATCCCTCTAGTATGGAAATTGTGAAAGAAAGCGAGGATATCCCCTTTGAGAGAATCCCAGAAGTGCTTGAAAAAGGCTACCGAGAAACCGTCGGGTCCAGGGGCCCGGTCTTGGCCACGATCAGAGATGGCCTTAAGGATCTCTGACTCTTCAAAAGGTCTCTCGATCCAGGCAGCAGATAAGGGAGGGATGGACTGAAAGGTGAGATCTGCCAAGAAAGGTCTCAGGGCCTGCGCATCTACAAACAATTTTCGAAAATGATTGATGATGGCATATTTGATTGGGGGAGCTTGCTCGAGCACTGTTTCGCCCACTCTAATCTGAGTGATTGTATTGTCCTTCCTACAATTGGCTATTTTGTGGAAAAAACTGGTGTTGAGTTCGCCTTGTTTCAACCACTTGACTCTGCCCAAAAGATCTCTTCTTTCTTTAAGAGAACTTGGTGCTTGAACTTGGCTTGGGATCGGCCTGATCTCTCATGGTCTGCTAGAGGGCGTAGCTCCTCAATGGAGTCCCATTGCTGGATGGCATGGAGGAGAGATGGCTTTTGGGAGCGAAATTTTCCTTGCAATTAGGCACTCCAAATTTTGAGGGAACTCTTAAGGTGCTGCAACTTACTTTTTTTGCCGATACCCTGCCCAACAGTGGATTCAACTAGATAAGGAGGTCCACCAATTGTGAATGAGATTGGAAAAGTTAATTTCCGCCAACCAGGTCAATTCTGACCCGAACGATTTGTCAGAGCAATTGGCTGGAACAGTATCTAGCAGTATGGGGCAGTGGTCAGATGTGGGTTTGGGGAGGGCGAGTGAATGAGATCCTAGAAATTCAGCATCCCAGTCCAAAGAGATGAGATATTTAACCGGTTTGGATATGGATGGGTTGCCAGAATTATTTGTCCAAGTACATGTAGCTCCCTGGAGGGGAAGGTCAATGAGTTCGAACCTTGAAATAAGGTCAGAGAAATCCAGCATCGATTGGGAGAAAGAGGAGTTAGCGTTCCGCTCAAACGGCCATCTAGTGGTGTTGAAATCTCCCCTGATACACCAACAGGATGGTGAAGTGAGAGCCTCTTGACGTGATTCCTCCAAAAAATGAGGTCTAAGAGGGGGGAGTTGGGGCCATAGCCGGCCGAGAACTTCCAGGGGAAGGCGTAAGAAACACGAACCAGTGAAATAGTTACAGAATACTCCCCCACTTAGTAGGACAAGCTGTGGAGGGTTGAATCCTAGATAACCCAAATACGCCTCGAAGCCCCTTCGGCCTCTAAATGCACCCATTGACTTGGTCTCGACCCCCACACTTGGTGTACAAGGGAAAGGGTGGGCCTAGGGAGTTTAGTTTCTATCATAGAAAAGACTGAGGGGGAATGAGAGGAAACAAAGTTGAGGACGTTTCTTTTCTTGCGGGGATTGCCCAATCCCTTATATTCCAAGTCAGAATCTTCATGAGGGGGGCAGAGGGGAGGGTGAAGTCTGGATGACCTACGGGCAGAGGGACAATCTGAAGAGGTACTATGATTTCTCGGAGCAGTTGACCTATAGTTGATCCCAAATGCGAGATATGCTAACTCTCGTTTGCCTTTTGGCATCAGCTTGGGTTGGTGATCTTTTTCTGGAAAAATGAAAGCTTTGAGGGCCGCCTGAGGTCCATTGTAGCCCACTCCCATGACCTTCATGACCGAATTAATGTTTCCCTGGACTTCGTCCATTTGGTTGACGAAGCTGATCCTACAAATAAGGGGGAAAGGCATGGATGCACTGTCAAAGGAGGACCTGATGGGGGGCCTCAAGCGAGGGGGTGAAGGCTCTGCAGTACCAACAAGGGTGGGTGGAGAATCCAGAGGTGGAGGTTGTGAGCAGTTAGAGAGCGTGGGGGGTGGTGGTGTCTGAACCGAAAATGGTCAAGGGAAAGGGGTGTGTTGAGGAACAAACGGAAAATGGGGAGCAGGAAGACCACAAAGAAAAGCTGAACCAGGGACTGGAGGAAGCAGATGAGAAGTTTGCGGAATAGGCAACGGAATAGGGGGTTGAAAAACTAGAGAGGACAAGGAAGAAAGAGGGGGAGGGGGTTAAAAAAGAGGGCTGCTAGGGAAGTGAGGGTTCCTGGTACAGTGGTGAGAGAGAAGACAAGGGGAAAGGATAAGGAGAAGAATGGGGGGAAGAGGGGGGTGGGGGGAAGAAAGATCAATGAGTGGTGGGAGGGCTGGACTAGGGGGCTCCAATGGTTGTCTGACTTGTGGATCCTCAATCGAGAGGCCTGAAAGAAAAGATTTGACGGGGTTGGGAATTGTCTGAGGACCAGGCAGTATAGGCTAGGTCAAGGCAGGCAGCAGGGGTTTTGATGAGGGTAACTGTGGTAGGGGTGAATGATCTAAAATAACGGGACCCACAAGAATGGAAGGGGGACCACAGGAGTGGGCACAAGCGATGAAGGAAGGAGAGTGAAGGGGGATGGACGACAGGTGGCAAAGCTGACGTGTTGACCACGTCATTCGTGGGATTAGTGGCGGCTAGTAGCAGGGAGGGTGAATGTGGTAGGGCGAGAGGTGGTAAACCTGAGACGTTGACAGCTGCCTGCTCAATAATTGCACCATGTGAAAAGGTCTGGATTAGGCCTGACAATAGGTAAAAAGGTAGGAGCTGTATCTCCCCTTCGATTAAATGTTATGCGGTTACGAATAGGTTCTTTCCCACACCTACGATGCACAATAGTCCTACCATCCGGATCAGCCTGCTGCTTGTGCTTCACAGGGGGGGCCTTCTGTGGTCTTGGATGAAGGTTCTCGACATGGCAGATGGCTGCGGGAGACGCTGCGAACCAGAAGAGAGACTCTGAAAAACAGGCCATCAACTACAAGCCAGAGGAAAGGGGGGATGCAGCAAGGGTCCAATGTGTCGATAAGGACTTCAATGGATCCGATAAGGACTTCAATGGATCCCATAGGTAGGATCTCAAGGGATTTCCAGTGGGTGGAGATGAAGGTACCACAAACTTCTCCAATGGTCTTGAATGTCGACTGGTGCCATGCATGGATCTAAAACCAAATCCTGAGGGATGTCAAATCCTAAACATTTCAACATGTCATCCTCTCCTTTACCAATTATAATCGCCCTTGCTTCTCTTCCTTCTTCAACCATTATGGATCCTTCCTTTCAAGGGAGGACTTGAGTGGTGGAATCTCATTTGAACTTCGTTTGTAGTGTAGATATTACCACGTGTAAATTGATTTGGACTTAGTGAGATTTGATAAAGTTACGACTGACTGTTACCAAGTAATGTCATTTATTCTCCTTCTTTTAGGACTCTCAAGTGTGTAACATGCTCTGTCGTGTTGTTTTAGCGCCTCTCTTAAATTCAATATTTGTAAACAATGATAACAAGTCTATAGAAACCATCATGCCCCCATTTTGCTATTTATTGCTCTGATCAGCCATGGGAATTTGATGGCTTATTAAATCTTTGAACACGGATAATAGTTCATTGAGCACTGAATTTGCTTTTAAAACCTAGGCTTTGGCATTGAGTGGAGATGGCTAGGTCTTCTTAGTTGCTTTTATTGGATATGTCGAGGTCTCCTTAGGCTTCTAATGCTTCATTTGACCCAAGGCCCTGTCTGATATCCTGTTAAGAATTGCCCATGTCAAGATGATACTCCTTGATGTGGTACAGCAGGATGATTCTAAAGTCAAAAGGATACTTTAATGAGCACTCGATATTCTAAAGTCAAAAGGATACTTCTATTGATTTTTCTCCTTGTTATTGAATTATTGATCATTTTGTTTATCTAAGCAGGACTACAGAACCAACAGGCTCTGGTGCATCGTTCACACCAGGAACATGGCAGCCACCTAGTTGAGGTTTGAATGGCTAGTTATTCAATATGCTAATTGAGGTACCTTTTTCCCCAACATGCACATTCAAATTTCTTTCATTCACGATCAACTCAGAGGGAGAATCAGATTCTGTTATGTTGGGTCTCTAATGTACGCGATCAGCACACACCATTTCCTAGCTGAGCTACACAGTCTTTTATGACCCTTCATTTTGGGGTTTTGATGGACTGGTGTCTTGATACGAGGTGAGCACTGGGAACATGTGAATGGAATGTGTAGAGATCCAGAACGCCTAGCAAGTAAATTCTTTCTGCCAATTGCTAGAAAGGTTTAGAGCTCAAAACTCTTTGTGACGTCGATTTGCTGATTTTGAATGTCATAGTTATCTTAGTTTGAATTCTGAATGTTATGTCATACAATTGCTTTTAAGTGAACCACAAATTGTATTTAATTTGTATTAAAAAAGGGAAAGTAACTCTCTTTTCTTCTACCAACATTTTTGACACGATTCAATTGTGATCTAGGGAGCTTTCTACGCATAAAACCCAAGATATTTGATCTTCGATTCAACAGTTGCCCACTACCTTCACTTTGGTAAAAGTCGAAGTGAGTATTAATAGGGAAATTATCGCATGGATCCCCTTTTTTTCCGATACTAAAAAATGGTCTCAAAATTTTACTATTTTGCAAATAGGTTCCATTTTCACCCCTTTCTTTATTGACAAAATTGCCCTTAATACGACATTTTATGGGTCGAACTGGGATGAAAATATAGAGTCCCAAAAATTGCTCCACAAAAACTAGTTTGTACCTTAGCATGAATTCACAATAATTAAAAAATATTTCTCTAAAGCTAGTTCCAAGAGTCTACCTAGGACTTGTTTTAAGCCCACCACCAAGTTGTTAAACCTTTCAAAGGTTAAACTACGGAAGGTCAAACTAAATACGGAAGGTCAAACTACAGTAGATGGTTTGATGTAGTAACCAAGTGAGTTTGCCCCTTCAAGCATGGAATTGATTTGGTCTCCACAACACTTAAAAATCTTCTTTTTTCAATGACCATTGTTTTTTTATAAACCCGTGTTGCAGCAATTTAGGACTGCGGAATAATCAACCATCAAATTTTAGAGTACGTTTTCAGTAGGGAGCCTCCTTTAGCCGCTGGTGGGTAGTTCTATCACGTACTGTAGTCCGCAACAACTCGCGAAACTAAGTTCAGTGCTCAACCAACACCTCTCTCCTTAACCCTTAGTGTTACAACCTAACCCCCGTGCATCCTATTTGACCCTTGAAGGGTCGAACTAGTGTTTGTGAGCAATTTTTAGGTCTTAATGATTTCATCCTAATCAGATTTTTGGGCCTTCATGAATTTATCCTAATCCAAGCAATTTCATCAATGGTTACAAAAATAGAACAAGACAGATTTACTATTGAAAAGAATAGGGGATCCGTCCCTTATGTACGTGTGAAGGGAGGGATTCCAATTCAGGATCCAATTTGAAAGTCATATCTCAGCCAGGACATTTTCTTGATGCATGAGATTCCACCAATGTACAACATGTGCTTTTCCTGGTGTAAATTTTAGTTTATTGGGAACTTGGTGAGCTCATTCGTCTATCTTCTGGTTTGTACTGTATACGGGGTCAACAAATTACTTGGTGCAAAAACAGAATACAATTATATTTTTCTTTGTTGAATCATTTGGAACCTCGAACAGATACTTTGACTAGCGGATGACCATTTTATGTTTTTAGAATACCGTTAACCAACTTCATAACCAATATAGTATGAAGGATTAAATTGGGTTTCGTAGCTCTCTCTGAGGGAGAGTATAAATATTTGATCAGGGAAAAATTTCGATTTAACATAATTTGTTTTAGAGAGTGTATGTATAAATATCTATTTGATCACATTTTTTGCTTTTGCCAAACGAATGTTAGATTTCAAATAATTAATAGAGGTATTTAAGGAATAAAACGCCTCTATAAACCCATCATTAATTTGTACTATTTATTGAAAGGTAGTGTTTCTGTGTTATAGCTAATGCGAACCCCTCCAAACTTCTTTTTAAATATGGACTTTGGAGCCAAAGTTTTATGGTGCGATAATGTCAACCAGCACAACGGATGCATCTCACTTGTCCAAACAGGGCTATATATAGTCCAAATTACGCACAACACACTCACCCTCATTTACATTGGCCATTAAAAATTGCACTATGTTACTACCCACTACTTGATATGGCCCTTACACCAGCTTATATTGCCCATCGAGGAGCTTGGGGCGGTTATACATTAGGAATTCAGGCCACACACTTCACCATTATCTTTAACACACTTGCTCAGACAGGTCTGTGGTCAGGCATCTCTTGCACATACGCCATCAGATTGCTCCTCATGATTCGCCTAAGCTTCAACTTGTTAGCCTCAGTGGACTGCTATGTTATAATTAGCCATCCATCTGCACCACTTGCCCAAGGTCTTACAACAAGAGAATTTAGCCACTAGCCAACTCACGCGGGAGCCATGCACCACGTCCCAACTTCGCCGCTTGCCTAAGGTATGTCAATGCTAAAGATACTCAACTCCCTCGTAATATAGGTTAATATAGGTTTGTCAGTCTAAAAACCTGGTTTGCATGTAAAGAGTGAAATCCGTCCAAATAAGGACTTTCGTGTGATAAACGATTCTGTCATTGAGGGTTTCCGTATGCTCTCATTAAATAACAAGCACGAGAAAAAAAAAAAAAAAAAAAAAAAAAAAAAAAAAAAAAAAATATAAATGAAGGAGTTCTAACAAGCCACCAGCACATTAAGTCGGCCATCCTTGTTGGACACTTGCCCTACATGGGCCCCCATAAACCATGGCTTTGGCCCAATGCTTGCACCTGCCAGGACAAAGCTACACAGTTTTGTCCATCTTGCCCTACGTGTGCTGCCCTGCGAGTCAGATGAAGAAGAGACTTAACTTGAAAACTCTCACTTTTCTTTTCTTAACGAGAGGAGTGGTATATCAAATTCACATATTTGTATAAGATTACAAAGCTAAGCAAATCATACACACAAAACAAACAGATTTGGCCCATACAAAAATATCTCATTGTGAAGGGATGAGCCGGTCTTGGAGGACTTTGTTGTTGGTGATGAGTGGGAGTTCATCTTTACAGGTTAAGTGATACCCCCCTTAAGCGGATCGGGCGAGCTAAGGGATACAATTTGTCTTGAAGCATGCAAAGACGAATAAAGTGCAGTCTTTTAGTGAATAAGTTTTTACTTGATTATGGGTGGATACATAATGAATGTTAAGATATATTCGAAGCACTTATTTCCCAAATGAAGTGATAATCGACCTTCACGTGTTTAGTATGTGCATGAAAGAGATTAGTAACTAATGATAATGTACCAATGTTGTTGCACCAATTAGTAGAAAAAATAGAAAAATGTGCAAAGTGCTAGTGAAACATGCAAAACTAGGATAACACGGCAGTAGTATGAGCTAGAGATCCATATTCGGACTTATTACTTGAACTAGCCATAATAGATTGTTTCTTAACCCAACATGAGACAGGTCAGTACCAAAGTTCACCGGCGATCATTTGGTCTAGGGCCCAGCCCACGTCAAAATAAGGAATAAGTTTTAGCAGGTCAAGCTTAAAACAAAAACTAAAAGTCGTGCCTTTAAGGTACTAGAGAATGCGCATAAATTGACACGCTTGATTGACATGAAAAGCAACGTCGGGCCGCACTAACATTTAAAATTGGAGAGCACCGACAGTACTTAGATACTTGGTACTATCAATTAGTAGAATGCTTCAATACTTAGATAATTTGCTGCTAGCGATAGCAGGAGTTGTGGTTTGGCCCCAATCTATTGCGCGTACACACACACACACACATACACACACACATATATATATATATATATATAGGAAGAGACTACACAACGCTTATGGGCAAAAATAAACGGTGTTTTCACCCTTAGGCTCGACGCTGTCCAATTTTTTTGGACAGCGAGGATTAAAGACCGCCACAGACCTAGTATGTCAGTGGCAGTCAAACCGTCATGGACATAGCAAGTCTGTGGCGGTAAAAAAAACACGTGGAACCGTCATGGATCACGCGCCGTCCGTTGCGGTTCACTTCAATAAATCACCATATATATATATATATATATAGGAAAATGTTGGGATTTGCCTAGTTGCTTATATGAACATATGAGTCCAATGGCCCATATTGATTCTAGGCCGATCTGACGGTCATGACTTCATTTTGTATTTGAATTTTAATTTTTTTTCTACTAATCCAAATCATTAGAAATTTTCAGAGTGTGTTCTTCAAAACAGGAGAACTTAATAAAAATATCAAAAAAAATAATTTTTAAGAAATAAATTGACTAAAATACCTTTAAAAAGTTTCGAAGGTATGTTGATCAATTTATTTATTGTGAATTATTTTTTAAATATTTTTATTAGGTGAGCCTTGATGAGAAGAATGAACGCCTAAAATTTTAAGTTATTTGGTTTCGTAAGAAAAATTTAAAATTCAAACACAAAATGAGGTCGTGACTCTCAGATCAGCCCAAATTCAATCTGGACTGTTGGGCTCATATGTTCATATAAGCTAGTGAGCTAATCCCAACATTTTTCATATATATATATATATATATATAAAGATGTTTAAACACATGATCCTTAACCTTTCTGTGAAGTGCCCAACTCATAGGAGTCTGATATGCTTCAAATGTTGTTGAGCTTGTAGACGTTTTTTGTTAAGAGCTTCCAGTTCTTTTAGTAACTTGAGTCCGATCGCTCTCACATATTTGGTCATGAACTGCAATACGTAAAGAAGGCAGCTTGATTTCAAGCAGTAGGACCTCCTCGCCACTGTAGACCAGGGAAAAGGGGGTGGCCTTGGTCACACCCTGCTCGTGTTTCAATATCCCCACAACACCTTCAGAAGTCTCTCATGTTAATCCCTTTGGGGTGTAGAAACCACATTTTTAAGGTGGTACATAAAAGTTTTATGCCTCGAGGATAGTATATGGTAGAATACTTCCAAGATAAATGGAATTCCTATTGGAGTTGTGAGAAGTGTTTGTTATTGAAAGGAAGTCTGTTATTCAAAATTAACATCTGACACTCCATTTTTACAAATAATGTGAGTGTTAAAGAAGTCAGCCAGTACCTTCCTCGTGACGCTTCTTAGTAGGATTGCCTCAGCTCACTTGAAAAACTGATCAGTGGTAAATTAAATGTAATCATGTCCAGTCGAGAAAAAGGGGTCAATGAGCCCAACTACATCCAATCCGTACATGACAAAAGGCCAAGAGATTACAGGAGGATGTAGTGGTTTGGATGGACTATAGATAATTTTCATTGAAACTGTCATGCAACGCATTTCTTCACATGCCACAAACAACTGTAAATCATAGTGGGCCAGTAGTAGCCCAAATGAAGCAAAATAAACAAGAGAAAGAGAGAGAAGATGAGGTG